TATATATATATATATAGAATGTATTATATTGCAATTTGATAAAATGAAGGTTTACGAAAATTTCTTTATCTCTATCAAATCAGTAAGAAGACATTTTTGTCGTTTTGAAATTAAATGTTAGTAAGCAGCTTTTTTCTCACAAACACGTATGTATTTCAAAATGCATTTTAAACAATCTATATTTAATTCACATCAGATTTTGAGAATAAAACTCTGTTCATAATTGTACATGCCGTGCATGTATAATAATTTTAATTTACATCTCAATATGTCATATTTTTGTATTCTGATTTTTCTTAAATATGCCGTATAAATGTATAAATATGTATGAAATGTAAATAGAATTCTATTCTGATTTCTGATATTAGGAATTATAATTATCGTTTAAAGTGTGTTATACGCATATATTCAGAATATTATATTAGGCCCATTCTAAACAAAATAGAATAAAAGCGCTTATTTAGAAAACCTAATTAAGAGTTAGTAATAAAAATTCAAATCTAGAACAACGCTGAAATTGCATCAAATCGAAAAAATTGCAATTGATGATCGGCTCTGAGAGAGCCGATTATAAATGTTCTCTGGCAAATTGAAGAATTTCATGTAAATGTTTTAGCAATATCTTATAATACATTTTTTAGAGTCTTACGATTCTAAAAGATGAACGATGAGCAACGTGACGTAACTCAAATTAACTTCATTAATCGGAAATTAATTTGATTTTTATTACGTGTATACGTCCCATGGGAATCCAGAGGGTGTGCTAAGTGGTGCTCGTATACCAGGAAAGCATATCGAACTTGGAGTTTAATCATCCTGAAACGCACGTTTTGATCGTTACGTGTATTGAATCTTCACCGGTATCTTACAAGTAGTATACGTATAATCGATTAAATGCATATCTTTTCCTTTTTTTCCTTTCTTTCTTTATTTTTATTTTCTTGCATTATTGAGTCTATCTTTCAGTGCAAAACATAAGAGAAGACGCTCGATAGGTGATCAATTTCGTGAGCGAATGGATCGAACATAATTCGAGCGAGATCATGTACTCACGTCTTCGTGTATTTTATCATTAATGCATCGTAACCGGGTCAACGTATTGTTTAATTTAATAATTTAACGTAAACATCAAGTAATATTAAATATATTACTAGGGAAGTAGGAGCGTACAGTAGGAAAGTTTTACTCCGATGTAACCTTACAATTTTCAGCTCAGGTAATTTTCCCTGTAATTTTCCCGTGTACTGTAAAGGTCACGTCGCTCACCCCTCTTACCCTATTAGGTATTCACAAATCTTTCTTTATCCTTTATTTCTTCTAGTTGAAGATGCCATCAAAGAAAAGAAGTTCGTTATGTTATACACAATGGACATAGCACGTGGAGTTTATATCATCAATAAAATAATTTTAAATCGGAAAATACTTTTTTCCACAATAAACTCTTAATTATAAGGAAAGAAAATTGAGAATTGTTGTCTTAAGATAAAATATTGTATTGCATTATTCCTCATTAGATAAAGGAAAGTAAAGAACTTTAATTAAAATAAATTTAACATGATGTTCATAAACATCATCAAATTAATATAAAATGTGTTTAAAGTTTATAACTCTTTCAAATAATAAAATACTTCAGTTTTACAAGTTGTGTATTGTATAATTGTGTCGATTACTTGCGATAAATATAAAAATAAGAGCGTTTAAATTTATTTGTATTACTTTGCAATCTTTTTCATGCTATATTAAAATAATAAATAATATAATAATTTTAAAACAACAAATATTTTCTAAATGTTTAACATAATAGTTATGAGAATAATGAGTAATAATTAAAAAAAAATAAAAGTAGCAGAAAATAATAAATATTTCTTCTTAGATATTACATTCTCTATATGTCAAGACAACGTTTTGTAAATAGATGACGATATTTAACAATAAATATGTTATATAATTTTTTGTATTAATATTATTCTAGCGATAAAAATGCGAACGTTTCATTTTTACAAGTTACAATGTTTTAACATGTTTTATTTTCTAATTTTAATAACAAAAGTATTTAAAAATACAACAAGTAAAACAAATATAATATTACTTGTATAATGTTACATGTAAATAATTATTCCTTATCAAGCACGGCGATTATCTTTTATTGTTTTAAATCCAATTTTACGAAATTACTTTTTTATTTCCTTTTTATGAGTCTTTATTAAATAATGATAATTGATATCGAGGACACCGCTTTCCGAGGATATCAGGCTACTATGAATTTCTGATTATTCTTGAATGTAGGGCAAGATAATTTCAAGAAACAATAATCAAGAAATGCTGGTAAAAAAAAACAAATTTTTAAAAATTATTATTCTTTACATATATGTAAAGTTAATTTTTTCTAAAAGCTAAAAGAAATAACCAAATAATATATTTTATAATATAAGATTTTTATTTTATTAGCCTTGGATTATAATACGATTATGTAAGTTTAATTTAGTGATAAAAATACAAACGTTTTATAATAAACATTTTATAATAAATTTCACTTTTAATATATTCTACTTTCAGACTTCATTCAATGAAAGTATTTATAAGAATACAAAGTAATAATATTACTTGCACATGTTACATGTTAATAATTATTCAATATCAAGCATAGTGATTATCCTTTGCTATTTTAAGAGTGCTCTTTTTCGCCTTTAGTCCAAATCTACAATAGGTTTTTAAACTTTATAGCCATAAGAAATAGTCTCGAATCATAATCGATTATTCTCCTCGACTATAATTGGTCAATTTCTTACGGCTTAAACCTATTGTAGAGCCGGATTTACTCTTGGTTGATATCCAAGAAAACATAGTGCTTTTCGAAGATATCAGGCTATCATGAATTTCTGGTTATTCTTAAACGTATCTAAGATAACTTTAAGGAACGACATCAAATGAGCAATGAAGAATTGAGAGACAATAAAAACAAGTTTCTTTTTAATTATAATTTTATTATAATCTTTATATGTATCGAGATAACTTATTGTAAAAAAGTAATAAATTAATATATTTTATAATACGAGATTTTCGTACGTTTAACAATCTTGAATTATAACAATTAGCCTGTGAATTTATTTTAGCAATAAAAATATAAATGTGTTTTATTTCTTCGAAGTCTGATAATCGATTGCTTCTTGAATCTGATTGATGTTGAGGTTGTCCTTTCCCGATGATATCAGGCTATCATGAACTTTTGGCCATTCTAACGCACAGAGTAAGGAATGACACTTTTATAAGTATATATACATGATATATCCTGTCTGTATATAGGCTTCATAAAAATCTTCGTATCATAAAAATAATTTATATATATAGGGATACATAAATAATAATGTACTGTAATGTATATCTTAAAGCTGTTACTTTTGATAACTTTAAAGATTCGAAGTTTTAAAAGAATTTGAATTTTCGAAGTTATACTGTTAAATTATAATGTCATGTTATATTCAACTTGAGTTATTTTTAATTATTTTCGTAGATTGTCACTGCTCAAACTTAATATGTCGTTAATTTAAACAATAAAGTTAAATAATTTAATTCAAGAAAATATAAAGACTCAAATTTATCATATTATTTGCTAAGTGCATGTTAATATGAACATTATTATTTATTTTGTACAGTAGCGAAAATAAAAAAATGAAGCATAAATCGAATGTAAGGGGAGAGTAACAGAAGTGTAAACGAAGTTTCTATTACTCTCCATTTACATTCGATTCTTATTTTTGTCAGAAAATTAATCACAAAAATGGATTAATTTACATTTTAATAGATACACATAGAAGTAAAAATAACAAATATAACAAAATATTATTTTTTAATTCAAGGGAATAAGTTACTATTACTTCTTTGATATCTAATAAAGTTTCGAATATTCGAAGTTTAAGATGCTTCAAAAACTTTGAATATTGATTATTTCTCGATATATGGAGATCGATAGTGGACATCAAGGTTGAGGTTTTTCTCAAAGATATCAGGCTATCATAAATCTCTTGCTATTCTAACGCATGGGACAAGAAATGATTCAGCGAATGGCGAAGACTCGATGTGAAGAAGGCGCATAGCAAAACGAATTTTTTCGGGAGATATCATGGAGGGGTGAACTTGACGGCCAAAGCGATTTTGTCTTCTTAGTTGATACCATGTTGCCGCTGTCGATCTACCATTTGTTCACCACTCACTTTTGTGC